TAAGTACTACCTATTCTGGGGGTTGGGGGAAGCAAATAGCTCCAATAACCTTGACTCAAACTAGTCAGCAAGTCAGGAAATATCATTTAGAGGAAAGGACATTTGAGTTAAGCCTTCAGAGATATGTAGGAGTTACTTAGCCAGTGAGGTTTCACCCAATAGCTATGAGAGTTTGTTTGTTTTGAGGCAGGGTCTCACTTTGTAGCAGACTGGTCTTAAATTTAAAATCGTCTTGCCTCAGCCTCCTAAGTGCTGGGTTTATAGGCATATACCACCATGTCCAGCAGAGCTATGAATCTCAAACTGAAGAATAAATATTTAAGCCAGCATGTTGGAAGCTAGCCCCTGCAAAGTTAATAGATAATTTATCTCAAAAAGATAAAAAGCTGTGCTGGTGGCTCACAAGCCTAGGCCTGTAATCCTAGCAACTTAGGAGGCTGAGCTCTGAGGATTGTGGTTTGAAGCCAGCCTGGGCAGGAAAGTCTGTGACATTCATCTTCAATTACCAAAAAAAAAAAAAAAAAGGCTAGAAGTGGAGCTATGGCTCAAGTGGTAGGTAGAGTGCTAGTTTTGTTGTTGTTTTATGAGCAATTGTTTTGAACATAAAAGCTTAGTGCCCAGACCCTGAGATCAAGCCCCAAGATTGGCACTAAAAAATAAAGACAAAAACAACACTACAAGATAAAAACAAAAGCAAGATTTAAAAATGTGGCTCAAGCTGAGTGCCGGTAGCTCATGCCTGTAATCCTAGCTACTCAGGAGGCTGAGATATGAGGATCACAGTTCAAAGCCAGCCAGGGCAGAAAAGGCCAGGAAACTCTTATTTCCAATAAACCACTAGAAAACTGGAAGTGGTGCTGTAGCTCAAGTGGTAGAGTGCTAGCCTTGAGCTGAAGAGCTGAGGGACAGTGCCCAGGCCCAGAGTTCAAGCCCTATGACTGACCCAAAAAAAAAAAAAAAGTGGCTCAAGTACTAGAGTACTAGCTTAGCATCAATGAGGCTCTCCATCCAATTCCTACTACAGTAGTAATAACAATAAATAGATAAAAAGTAGAAATGTCTTTTGGTAGTACCAGATTTTGAACTTGGCCTCACACTTGCTCAGCTAGTATTCTACCAATTGAGTCACATCTCCAACTCTGCTTTTATTTTTGTTCTGATCTTGGCCTGGGTGCTATTCCTGAATTTTTGTGCTCAAGGCTAGTAATCTACTACTTGAGCCACAGCTATACTTCTGGCTTTTGGTATTTTACTGAAGAGTCTCAGAGACTTTCCTGCCTGGGCTGGATTTGAACTGTCATCCTCAGATTTCCACCTCTGAGTAGTTAGGATTACAGGTGTGAGCCACTGGGACCTGGCATTTTTTTTGTTTTTTTTTGGTTGGTTGTGGGTCTTGAACTCTGGGCCTGGGCTCTGTCCCTCAGCTCTTCAGCTCAAGGCTAGTGTTCTACTGCTTGAGACACAGCACCACTTCTGGTTTTCTAGTGGCTTATTGGAGATAAGAGTCTCACGGACTTTCCTGCCCGGGCTGGCTTTGAATCGTGATCCTCAGATCTCAGCCTCCTGAGTAGCTAGGATTACAGGCATGAGCCACCTGCCTCAGCCTGGCATTGTTTTCGAGAGGGAGTCTCCAACATTTCTGCCCCAGCTGGCTTTAAGCCTTGATCCAACAGCTCTCAGCCTTTTTTTTTTGTCAGTTGTGGGGCTTGAACTCTACCACTTGAGCCACAGTGCCACTTCCGGTTTTCTAGTGGTTTTTATTGGAGATAAGAGTTTCATGGACTTTCCTGCCTGAGCTGCCTTTGAACTTTGATCCTCAGATCTCAGCCTCCTGAGTAGCTAGGATTACATGCGTGAGCCACTGGCACGGCACCCAGCTGCACTCAGCCTCTTGAGTAACTAGAAATACAGATATAAACTGCTGTCTACCAGCTTTTAAAATGTCTTGGTATAAGTGATCAGTAAAACTATAGCTATGACTAACCAACCAGCAGTGGGTTAAAAAATGAGACAAAGGGGCTGGGAAGGTGGCTCAGGGGTAGAGTGCTTGCCTTGCATGCCTGAGGCCCTGGGTTCGATTCCTCAGCACCACATAAGAAAAAAGAAAAAAGCCGGAAGTGGCGCTGTGGCTCAAGTAGTAGAGTGCTAGCCTTGAGCTGAAGAGCTGAGGGACAGCGCCCAGGCCCAGAGTTCAGGCCCCATGACCGGACGCAAAAAAAAAAAAAAAGAAAAAGAAAAAAAAAATGACACAAAGGCCAGGTGCAGGTAGCTCATGCCTGTAATCTTAGATACTCAGAAGGCTGAGATAGGAGGACTGCAGTTCAAAGCCAGCTCAGGTAGGAAAGTCTGTGAGACTAATGTCAAGTTAACCACAAAGAAGCCACAAGTAGAATTGTGGCTCAAGTGGTTGAGCAATAGCCTTGAGGAAAAGCAGCTCAGGGATAGTGCCCAGACCCCAGGACCAGCACACACGCGCGCACGCGCACGCACACACACACACACACACACACACACACACACACAGCATAACACAAGGAAAACCTCTGAGCATCTTTGTCTTCTTAGTCCTAGATTCTTTGTATCTTTAGGTATTAGTAGTTTAAATAATTAGTATTTTCAACGCTTGATCCAATTTTTCTTCTATTGAGTTTTTCCCTTTAAAAAATTCACTATGGTTGTTTTCAAAGCAAGATTGAGAGCATGGAAGAAGGTGACTTGCCAAAGGCAAGAGTTTGTATTTCTAACTCCACAGGGATTTCCTTCCTTTCCTCTAGAACTGTTCTTTGCTAGTTAATGACTTCAGGCACATGACTCATTTGGGTCACATCATCTGTTCTATCTCCAAGTCAGCATTTTATCTTGACCTGGAGAGGAAGAAGTGATCACTGGATGGCAGAGTCCAGTATAAAGCTTACACAATCTTTTTTTCTTTAGAGGAGACAGGACAATCCTGTGCAACGCCCTAGTCATGTCATTATTGCTTCAGGTGGTGGCTTATTCTGTAGACTGTGAGAAGGCAGGCAATGGTAGGGCACCATAGCAGCCTGGAAACACATAAAACTCATGTGCAGTGAGCGCCAAACATTCCACAAGCAAATTGTTTATAAAATAAGGGCATTAGCTGGGCATCAGTGGCTCATATCTGTAATGCTAACCATTCAGAAGGCTGAGATCTGAAGATGGTGATTTGAACCATCCTGGCAGGAAAGTCTATGAACCTTTTTAATTTTTTTGTGCCAGTCATGGGGCTTGAACTTAGGGTCTGTGCACTATCCCCGAGCTCCCTTTTTTGCTCAGGGCTAGCACTCTACCACTTGAGCCACAGCACCACTTCTGGCTTTTTTTTTTTTTTTTCTGTTTATGTGGTAGTGAGGAATCAAACCCAGGGCTTCATGCATGCTAGGCAAGCACTCTACCACTAAGCCACATTCCCAGCCAAGTCTATGAAACTGTTGTTGTTGGTCTGGGGCTTGAACTCTACCTAGGTGCTGTCCCTCAGCTCTTCAACTCAAGGCTAGTGCTCTATCACTTGAGCCACAGCGCCACTTTCAGTTTTCTGGTGGTTTATTGGAGATAAGAGTCTCACAGACTTTTCTGAGCTGTCTGGCCTTGAACCACGATCCTCAGATCTCAGCCTCCTGAGTGGCTAGGATGACAGGCGTGAGCCACCAGCGACCGGCAAAAACTCTTATCTCCAATTAACCAGCAAAAAGCAGGAAATGGAGCTGTAGCTCAAGTGTTAGCTTTGAGTGAAAAAGGTACAGTGCCCAAGCGTTGAGTGAGTTCAAGTCCCAGTACTGGCATACACATACAAAAATAAGGGAATTTTTGTCCTGAATCCTCTTAAGGACTGGGAGTGGAATGAGCAGATCTAGAAATTCCTGACAGAGCTGCAGCTTCATAGCACGGCTAGAATGGTGACTGGGGTGTTAGGTTGCATCAGAACTCAACATCCATGCTGAGTCTGGGAGCTTCATTTTTCTCCCGTAAGATACTCATTATATGAAGCCGCTGTGAGGATTCAGTGAAACGGGCTCTGGGCCTTGAACTCGGGGCTTGGGCGCTGTCGCTGAGCTGTTTTGCTCAAGGGGCAGCTCCACTAATGGCTTTTTGGGGGTGGGGGATGAGGTGTAGTTCTTTGGCGATGAACATCTCACCGACTTCCTCCTGCTGGGGCTGGCTTTCAACTGCGATCCTCAGATCTCTCTCTCCTGAGGAGCTACGGGTGTGAGCCACGAGCGACCGGATACACCACCGTGCTTTCTGTGGTTGTTGATTCTGTTTCTGTCGGTCATGGGGCTTGAACTCAGGGCTCGGGCGCTGTTCCTGGAGCTTTTTCGCTCAAAGCTAGCGTTCTGCCATTTTGAGCCATTCCGCCACTTGCGGATTTTCTGGTGATTAAGTGCGGATGAGCCTCTCTCGGGCTTTTCTTCGATCCGCGACCCTCAGATCTCAGCTGACCGGCAAGAGCCACCGGCGCCCCGATAAACTAGCTTTGTATGTTGGTGCTTTTACTAAGGGTCTCTCCGGTGGGACCTCAGTTACGCCGTCCCCAATGGCTTCTAGAAAGCCATCCCTAGTTCCTGGAGGACCTTTAAAATAAAAAGAAACCACATGCTTTCCGCATACGTATCTTCAGGGCAACTTCAGGCGCGCCACGACCCGCGCTGAATCCAGAGCTCCGTACCAACCTCGGGCGCGCGGAGTCGGAGGCCCCCTCAGGGCCCACAGCCCGGCTCACCACTCGGCGTCCCCAGGCGCGGGCCACAGCTCGCTCAGGGACCACAGCTACCCAGGCGGGCCAAGGGCCCCACGCCCCCGGCCCGCCCCGCGCCGCTTGTTTACTCCCTGGCGCAGCCTAGCCCGACCCCCAGGGCCCGCCCTCATCCGCCGCTTATTGGCTGATGGGGAGAAAAGGCGGGCGATGATTGGCCAGGGGAGGCGGAGGCGCGGGGCGAGCGGGGTAGGCTGCGCGACAAGCCGAGAGGGGGCTGCGGGCGATGGCGGCGGCTGCAGCTGCGGCCGGTCGGCTAGGCTGGGTGCTCGCGGTGTTCTACCTGGGCAACGCCGCGGGGGAGGTGGCGCCGGGCCCGCGACTGCTAGGCTTCTGCCTGGAGGAGGTGGGCTCCGGGTGGGTGCGCGGAGAGGCCTCTCCAGAGGCCACCTTCCGCCTGCGCCTCTTTGGCTCGGGCTTGGCCAACAGCTCTTGGACCTGGGTGGCCCCTGAAGGGGCCGGCTGCCCTGAGGGCGGGCTGGCTGTGTCGCCCGAGGAGGCGGTGCCCCCTCCGGGCGAGTGGCGCGCGTTGCTGCGTCTGCGCGCTGAGGCC